CAGAAAACTGAGAAGACTTAGTGCGTGCTGTAATGAATTAGCGTAACGCTGGATTTAATAGTAGTTACGATCTGTAAGAGTCCAACAAATCAGATTACCAATCCCACTCCATCTATAATCACTCAATCACGTGACAGTAGTATAAAAATATGTTAAATCAAGCGTAACTGGTTTAAGTTTATTGCAGTATAAATATTATTGCGAATTTGAATGTAAAGTGTAAGTCTCAACAATATTATCTATACTTAACTTTTAAGATTTACTTAAAACAGAATGACAATCAAAGATTAAATTATATATGCACTTTCAACAATATATATATATCAATATCTGTAATACCCAAGATGACAGTAATTTATGCAATGGGTTTTTAGAAGAGACCTGATGGTAGCAACGAAGGTGAAACATGCAGTCGAACTTTCACGCATATTTTATGTAACTTCAAGTTCGTGTATAAATTCCGGATTTGTTTTCGTGCTAAGATATAGTAAATCTGTATGAATACCGCAACATGACACCAAAATATATCAAATCTGCAAGGATTAGGGGCATTCTAACCTCTAGTCTTCTCTCTGAACTGTAATTCTGGATTCTGTATCTCAACCTGAGCTAGCTTTATGCAACCGACTTCTGGGCACCCAGTAGAACAGTTGATTCCTGTTACCATGAAAGCGCGATTTTCATGGCTGCGGAAACAATGTTTCAATTCACCATTGTAAGAGAAACTTCGTGTTTACTTAGTCGTTGGTTATCAACGGACGTTTGATTCTGGCTTCTCTATTCCGGGGTTCAGGCGTTAAGTCACAATACTATACTTGTGGAGCGTGCTTTTATACACCTCAAAGGAAGGAAGGTGGTTTGTTCCTTGCAAACAAGCTAAAATTAAGTTCGAAGAACATGTACATTTCTTCACTTACAACCTACATGCATGAGAATATCTAGTTTGTGGAAAAACATACTTCAAGAAATTATTCACACTGCACCAAAGCCTACTGGGATACCATCTCAACCAAGTCCAGTCAAGTTGAATTGAATATGCTGGAAAGGCAGAGCCTCATCTTCACTCAACACATGCAATGTGGTAGTGGGTTACAGAAATTTTATGCAAAACAAATGTTGTCTGCCCTTGCAGCATCTTACTGAGTCGGGTTTGATTCATCATGACCGCACTTGATTCTGTTAGTATGTCAGCAGCCAAAGAATGACAGCTGATGATTTTTTATCAGATATAATTGTTCAGAAGGTGTAACTGATACTCATATGTGCCATTACAGCAAGTTATACTACACACTCTAAGGTCGACAAAAAGACATGTCATGCCAATTTGCACTCATCACAACTGATTCACCACATAAAAATATCTTTAACTCAGGTCAGGGATGGCCAAATTTCCAGGATTAAAGTACTAAAGAATAGCTTAAATTAATTAAACAGCAGATAATCCAGTTACTCAGATCTTATTTCTGCGAACCCTGATTATGTTGGCCAGGAGTGGTTTCACTCAAACCACGTCAATTTAAGGAGGTGGCCAACTTTAAGAAAAAAAAAAACAGTAACATTTCCCACATTTGTATCAACAGTGACAATGTACTTGCTATGCTCTGCCTGCTACCTGCTTCACACCGGCTTCTTGCTTGTCTTATTCTTTGACCATGAAGATGGAGGCAACATGTTCCTTCAAAAAGTTGGTGTCTCTCGACTGACTACAGAGCATTACATAGAGAAGACAGCTAATAATCTGAAGTGTCAGGGCAACTAATTACTTAAGGATTTGCAGGAATAACATGGTAAGAGTGAGGGCTGGTGCCCCATCTGAGCCAACAGACTGGCATGGTTGTTATACATAGAAATAAATGATCCATATTCTCTGGATTTTAAATTTCTGCTCCTATATTCTCATTGAGTTTATTTTCCAGTGACAGGGACAACTTTTTTACACCTCTGTAACTTCAACCAGAAGATATTTTAAATAAGGGTACTGCAAAAAATAAGAAATTCTGAAAAGAAACTATTACTACATACAGCTACTCATAATCACAATGGAAAAATTAAGTTAACAGTAGTGAATATCCACATTCTTTTAAATGAATATCAGCCACAGTTTCTTAGACCAAACCAAGAAACCTTTCAAGTCATTCCTTCTGTTAACACAGACAGTGTCAACTAAACTGTGCAAACCAGGCAAACCTGAGAAACAGGAGCATGTGGAGAGTCCTTTACAGATATTACAGACAGCAATTAAAACATCCACCATCTAGATGGCAAACCATGGCATGTTCTGTGTTACATTAAAGCAAAATATCAATTATTTGCAGACAAAGAATTTCAACTGTAAATAACTGTGATGACACTGACGAACTAGAGTTAGCAGTGATGACAGTATTAGTGAGAATGATGTATTTGTTATCAGAGTTGTGTATTACTTTTAAATTACATGATGCTTAGAAAACACAGAAGGGGAAGTCAATAATTATCCGCAATGCATTTGTATTTGTGTTTCTGTTGGCAACACTGTTGTTTTGCACAGCATCATATGCGTGGTTTGCCTTATTATTTCTGTGCAGGTTTGAATGTTGCTAGCTCAGTGTCATTGTCACTGCCTTGCCATTAATCATGGCTGTTTCACTTTCTGTTTGCATCAAAGAAAAGCAACATTCAGCGAACCTGTTTTGTGGTTGAAAGGTGTATTAGGGGCCACAATCCATCAAAACTTTCAGCACAATACATAAAGAGTGTTTTGCCGCAAAGGAGGGTCTACGAATGGATTGAAAAATTTAAAAATTACCACACAAGTGTTATGCATGAGGAATGAGCCAGATGCCTTCCACGGCCACAAATCAGGACAACATTCAGTGTGCATGTGACATAGTTCTGCCTATGAAATCATCCACAACAGACTTGGGCTTCATAAAGTCTGTGCAAGATGGGTCCCAAAACAATCCACAATGCTGCATAAACAAACACTATGGTGTTGAATGTGATGCCTTCTTAGACAGAATCATCACTGGTGATGAAACATGGATCCATAATTGCGAGCCGGAGAGTAAACGGCAGGGTATGGAATAGAAACATCCACTTTCACCCAGCAAGAAAAGTTCAAAAGCCAACTATCCACAGGAAAACTGATGCTTAGTTTCTTGGGACTCACAAGGCTCAGTACTGGCACATTAAGAGGAGAAGGGCACAACAATAAACAGTGCTCATTACAGTGAGATGCTTACTGACTGGCTAAACTCCGAAGACTACTGTCGAAAGGTGTTGCGCTGTTGCATGGCAATACCCATCCACATACTGCTGCCCACACTGCTGGAACCCTCTAGAAACTCAAATTTGATGTAATGGCTCATCCTCCATATAGTCCCGATCTCACCTCTTCTGACTATCACTTGTTTGGTCCACTCAAAGAGGCATTAGGGGACCATCAATTCACCTTGGACTCAAAATTGAAGGAAGCGATGTACGCATGGCTCAGTGCTGAGCTGAAGACGTTCTTTTGTAAGAGCATAAGGAATCTTGTGCAACTATGTACCAAGTGCATTGAAAAGCAAGAGGACTAACTTGAAGAGTGATGTTAATGTAAGCGTTCTATTTGCATTGAAATAAAGTTTACAGCTACACTGCGGATAATTATTGAGTTACCTCTATGAAAACACACTGATCACTCTCAAATAGCATAGATGTAAATTGTACTAAATATTTCTTCACATTTCAGTTCCTAGTCAGAATAATTAGTTTACTTTTGCAAAAGAAGTCCCATAAGAAGTGTCTGGAATTGACAGGAAGGCTTATTTGTAACCTGCTAAGCAATCCTTAAGTAGAATCACATACTGTATCTTCTTATTGCTAGCAAAACATTTCTAGATTAACAAAAAATTCAGCCTTCATAGTGCTGTTCCCATATAGTTAAATTTGAGTATCATCTACTGCAAAAGCACAGAAAATATTGGATGTGTAAACAAAGGCAAGGTACTTCTTTCGGCTTATTTTGGACTTCACCCATCGTCTGGTATGTAAAAGACAAAAGAACCCATGACGTTTCAGAGACTGGATCTGTCTCTGTCTTCAGGTGGATAGGGAAGGATAAACCTACTCAGTTGGACCCCTTAGAAAGAGCTAGTCTCAATCACTGGACCAAAGAGACTAGCTCTTTCTAAGGGGCCCAACTTCCCTATCCACCTGAAGACGGAGACAGATCCAGTCTCCGAAATGTCGTGGGTTTTTTGTCTTTTACATACCAGACGATGGGTGAAGTCCAAAATAAGCCGAAAGAAGTACAGTATTCACCATCGTCAGAATCCTTTCAAGTCTATCAAAGGCAAGGTAGTAACTTATATTGACCTAACATACAAGATCTATAATTCTACACCTAAAACTTCTGATAAAGAAAGCAAAACAAGAAGTTCCAGGTAGAACTCAATAAAGCCTACTTTCCTACTGCTGGCTTCCAGTCCTACATATCTTGTGCTGCTAAAATGCATTTTGATAATGTAAATTCATAAGCTAATGCTAAAATTGAACTCAGCACATGCACTAACACAATGAACTTGCATGCAGTTTACCTAAGCTCAAATTCTGGTACACTTAAAATTTGTGTTGCTTGCAATTATACATGTATTACAGGATGCCATCAGGGATCTACACATCCTGGGTGCCAGGTCACCCAGGCAACTAAACCGTTCATTGTGGCGGCCAATATTTTCCGCCTTGGATTCCTAAATTTTCTTTCTTTACATCGTTCGAAATTTATCGCTCGTAGTTCCGTCATGTAGATGGTGATTTCAGCCATTGGCAATAAAACCTTAAGACTAACATTACAACACCAATTCAGTAACACAACGAGGTGCATAAATTGTTATCAATATTAATATTAATACAATTACTAATATGGATCCATAGTTAGGACACAATCCAACAATGAGAGACATATCACGGAAACTTTCTGATGATGATCCAACTGGATTGAAACATGTAGCAAATACAGAATAAAAAACAAATGTTAATACAGTAATATTAGTATATATATATTTGGATATTGTGTTGATGGCCATATAATAATACCAAATTATTTACAACTAACTAAGGGTCTAATTTATTTGCATAAGAATCTGTTGAGTTACTGTGTTATAACTGATTAATTGTGAAATTAAAAACCCACATACTCCTACATTCAGGTTTTCATACATCCAACTGTCCTAATGAAATGTGCATAATTACCAATCCTACACTTTATGGAAAAAGTTTTTTTTTCAGTTTATTGTGATGTTCCACTCGCCAATCTCAGCTGCCTTCTTCCTGTTCAGTGAGCTCCTGATAGCGAGCAAACATCATCTTCTTTACACAGTCCTTGTAAGTTTCTCCTGGAAGTGCCCCGTAAGTTCCTCCTTTAACACCAAGGCCTGCTGTGCTTACACGATGTTCTGCCTGAATGATTGAAGTTCGTCCCTGATTAGATTTGCCTAAACCCATCCCTTCTTGCCAACCCATTTTTTGTAACAACTTATTACCAACATTATCTGACCCAATACCAGACCTTGTTGGCTCTTCATATGATATGGAAGCAACTTCTTCTCTTGTCTTGAGATATTTTTCTTTTAAATGGTTTGGATGAGGCTGATTTGGTTCCCCAAACTTCTGGCGTCGTTCCTTAGCTCGGTCCCGGTACTTCTTATTCCTCTGTTGAGGATCATGAGGATCCAATCCTCGAACACGATACCACCCTTCCAAGTTTTGTTTGTGCAAATCTGAAAACTGCTGATGCCTCACTAAAGATTCCTTGGTAGGAAACTGGCGCTTACACAACAAGCACGCAAGCTTCACCCAGTTAGTGTGTTGTCTATCTTCTTGAACTACATCTTCTATCTCTTCATCACTCTCACTACCACCACCATATGCTGCAACCAAAGCACATGCACTACCGTTATTACTGGCACCCCAAATGCCACTACTACCACCCTGCTGTGATGAGGACTCCAGCTGCCTCTCTTCCAGCTCACTGGAGGGCACCACTTGGATGTCAACAGGTTGCCGTTCCTTCCTCTCCAGGACTGCATATCCAGCATCAGCTGCACCTACTGATTTAGAAGATGGCAGTATAACAGCATCGACGGCCAAATTTTGACGAGCATTATCCTTCTTCTGATTCAAAGTTTTAGCCCACCGTTCCATGTCCTTCGCTATTTTCTTAGCTACTTTGACCTTATCTTGTCTATCTTTCTCTTTAACTTTCTTTCCTTCCTCTTTACTGGCACTTGAATCTTCTGACGACACTGTAGCTGGAAGATATAATTGTTTTTCTGTATCCCAGTACAGGAATTGTTGTGTCTGAGAGTTATAAAAGTACTGCGTACTTGCATCATAATACAGCCCTGTATGTGAGTCATAGTAATAACCAGAAGTTTTGTCATACTGATATGAGCTAACATCTGGCGCACTACACTTCTGATTACTGATACTTGACTGTGCAACTGAACCAGGTGCAACGTCCTGGTCTGTACTCTTTGGTTGCACTGATGAATTCTGGGTCTTCATCTGTGCTATTTTCACCACTTCATATGCTAATTTATCACCTGCTCTGAGCAGCTGGGGGTCTTCAATTTGTTTCTTGATTTCCTTGGCAGCTTGTACCTGCTGAATGGCAGACTGAGCTACAGCTGCTGCAGCATTGACACAATCTGCCTGCGACTGTGTCGGTAATGTGACAGACCTGCCTTGTGATATCCGAGTGTGGTAGTACTGTCGATAGTATTGTTGATATGCAGTATATTCAGCAGGTGATGTTGCATACAGTGAAGCACAGTAGTCGGCCAGGCGAGGAACATCCTCCAAGTTGTACTCCGTCAGATCTCCACTTGTCGATTTGCGAAGGTGACTATACTGGGCCACTGCATCCATGTCCATTCCAGCTGCAGCTGCTGCTGTTGCAATGCTACTCACTGAACTACCAATACCAGGGAGGTCATGTTGTGCTTTACAATATGAAACAAGGACTTTTCTGCCATCCACTAATGGTGGTGTCGCTATTAATGCGTTATGCATATAAATGGAATCCATAACATTGTTCATTTCCAGATAACAGACTCCTCTTGAAGTGTTGGTGAGGGCATCTTGACCGATACGGATACTGCGAATGGGAACAGACGAGATTGATTTAATGGCTTGCAATACTGAATCTTCAGTGGACAGAACATCCAATCCTCGTAATAAAACTGTGGGGGTTGGGTGAAAACTGACTTCTGCGCTACCCTCCCCACCTTCTGATTCCTGTCGGGAAGTATAACATTTAAAGCAAGCATCCCTTCTTTTAAAGTTGTGTGCACCACATCTGATACAATGCCAATCTTGGTTTGACTTCAGAGATGTTCTATCCATCTGTGAATCCTTTGGAATACTGAAATGCATCACAGCTCGATAATGATCCTGCAGCATCAACACACCATGCTTCATTTCCATCCACTGAGAAGATTCCTGAAGTGTATTAAATTCCACAAATGCAAAGCCTCGAGATGTACCTGTATCTTTCTTTCTTATAAGTCGTATGTCTTTTGGCATTAGTCCACATCTCAGTATATCTTGTCGAATATCGTTTTCTGTAATATGCTGTGCTAAGCCTCTAATCATAATGGTGTTATTAGGTACTTGGTCTCTGTAATTGTCGCCATCTCGGCTTCCTCCTATGGGAGTACGACTAGCGTGTTCTAGGCAGTTCATGTTTTCTGTACCATCATCCTCACATCCACTCCAATTGCTTTCTCTTTTATTCCTATCTTTACCACCCTGGCCATGCTTTGAATCTCTGCCTTCCTGCAATTCTTTTGAACACTTTGAGCTCCTTCCACTACTTCTTGATTCCACTGAAGACTCTGAATAGCCCCTCTCTCTAACACCACCACTTGATCTTGAACGAGGTTCTTTGTCCTCTCGTAGACTCTCTCTTGAATTCTTCATATCTTTTGGGTCTCCTGACTGATGCTTTGACTTGTTCAAATCTGTACCATCATGGGAAGCTTTCGGATAACTGCCCTGTGACACATGACCCTTCCTATCTGAGGAGTCATCTCTGTATGACCGCTTGTCAACACCTGAATATCTCTTATAATCATTTCTTTGATATTTCCCTTTAGGATTGTCATAACTATACCTTTCTCTGGAAAAGTCTTCATCCTTGTAAGAACTATCCTCAGGAAAACTGTCATCATCCTTATACCGATGATCTCGATAGCGATTTGACTTTGAATCCCTATCTCTATTTAACCTTCTAACCCAGTCTCTATCAACTTGGTGCTCATTATACGAATCTGCCATGAGGCAACTGTCATTATGTAAATCCTCAACACCAGAATTCATGTACTGTCTACTTCTCCCATCTGGGGGCATTTGTTTAGATCTTGCTGGGTACATTGTTGAACCATGATCAATCATACACTTCAGTTCAACCTTTCAAACTGAAATATATTTCACTGCTAAACTACACGTTTATTTTCTTCAGTCTAACAACCAATCACTTAATCAGCGCTCAAAGTCTTCCATTTACTAGTCATAAACACTTCACAGTTCCTTAGAAGTACAATCAGACAGGCAGTTAAGCTTTCTTTCACTTCTGTGCAGTCTTCCAAGGTGTCTCCATGCTTCAGAATTTTTGAATTAACTCTTTACACCTGAAATAAATAACAAAATATAAGAACAGCTGGAAATTGGAGAACAAAGAGAAAGATTACAAATCAACCACAAATGTCTCAAAGTATATTTGCTTAAGATTTAGAGGGCAACTGCAAAGAAATTAAAAAAAAAAAATCCAAAGATGAAAAGTAAATACAGACCAATAAAAGATATAATTACTGATATGAGTAAACTCTTCATATGGCAAAAAATTAAATATCTAAAAACAAGGCATCTTTATAGTGTGGAGCTACTGGATTCTACACATTTGACCAAATAAACTGCATGAGAAATATATGTCTGCTGGATACTGAAATTACCAATGCAAAATGAATAACAATAAATGAACATGAGATAAGGAAATGATAGTACACATGATAAAGGCAGTACGACCAATAAGGATGCTATGGATGTATCAGCACAGAACTGGGAGGAAGATCTGATAGCCAAACAAGACATCAAATGAGTGGAAGAAGGGAGTGCCAATTTCTAATTTAAGGAAGGAGATAAGATACTATGTTATAATTATAGAGGAATAACGCTTCTCAGTCAAAGTTACAAAATCTATTAATTTTAAAAAAAAAAAAAAACACTTAGTGAGGAGCAACATGCAATTCACCTGAAAAGATTCACAATACATCTAATCCTCACAATGAGACAGCTAACAAGGAAATGCTGAGAATTTTGCATAGATAGGGTATCTGTATTTATATTTATATAATAAGGAGTTTGTGGTAGGTATTTTTTGTGATTTGACAAAGGCCTTTGATTGTGTCAGTCATGATCTGCTGATTCAAAAGTTGAAGATGTATAGAGTCAAAGAGCCTATTTTGAAATGGTTGGAGACTTATTTAAAAAACGGAATGCAAAGAGTTGCGCTGCATACTTGTATTTCGACTACTACAATCTCTGAATGGAAATCTGTAAGGTTTGGTGTTCCACAGGGATCTGTCCTGGGACCAATGTTGTTTAATGTTCATATTAATGATTTCCCAGGTACTCTTTAAGGATATAGCACGTACTATTTTGTACGCGGATGACACAACAATCTTAATTACCTCAAATGACACGAACTCTTCGAACATTAAATTAAATAGAGTTATGACTAGGGTTTCAAGCTGATTTCAAAATAACAATCTGGTACTTAACTTGAGTAAAACTCACCTGATTAAATTTGTGACTCATAAGTCTCCAGAGTATACATTATCGGTAACATATAATAATTTTACACTTAAAAGATGTTGATAATGTTAATTTTTTAGGTATGTATTTAGATTGTCAACTTAATTGGAAAAAACAATCTGAAAAATTATTAAAGAAACTGAATACATCGTGTTTAATGCTCAGGAAGTTACAATCCCTTGTCAGTGAGCAAGCTCTTCGAATGGTCTGTTTTTCTTATTATCAGTCTTAGCTTGAGTCCTGGAAACGCGTGTAGAGAAAGTTTTAAGAGGTTGGGTATTTTGATTGTTCCTAGCCTATATATCTATTCTATATTGATGTTTATTGTTAGAAATCACATTTTTTTTCAAACCAACAATAATATTCATCATATAAACACTAGACAGTTTGGAAAGCTACATGTGTCATCAGTGAGATTATCTTCAATCCAGAGAGGCGTGTTATATTCATCCATTATGGTTTATAATAATCTTCCTCAAAATATACAAAGGATGAGTGATAATGTGAAGATTTTTAAACACACACTGAAAAGTTTCCTCACAACAAATGCTTTTTATTCAATAGATGAATATATTTCTGCTAAGTATGTATAGCATTTAATAACTACACGTATATTCCTTGTAATTTTGTTCATGAATGACAATGTAAATTACGGTTATTTGGTGCTTCTGGTTGTGTGTGGTTGTTTGCTGTTGACACGATTGTACTTCTGCAATCAAGTCTTATTTTGATGAGTTCAATATCCGGTCCAATTCAGACAATGGATAAGTGATTTTATGAATTATGTATGTAATACCTTGAAAAGCATACAACAGTCAGAAGAAAGAAACTATTTGGTCAAGCTTAAGGGGGCTGTTTTCTGGGATGTATTTCCATATAGTGTGGTAGATAGGTACCAGTGTTTCAGAGTAACTTGCTGCTTCCATCTTCAGGGAAAGAGTATGCCACAGGGGGAAAATAGTCAGTGATACAGGGAAGGAAAGACAAAGACTGAGGATAAGAGCAATCAAATGGAAGAAATTTAAAATGAAGGGTTAAGTTACACTTCCCACATTTCTTATTTACATTATTAAAAATGTATAATTGGTATTTCCTTACTGCTTCACTGATGTAGCTGGTACTCTCTACATATGTGTCTCTTCTTCGTTCTCTTCTATTGACATTTGTACAGGCCTTGCCCCTACTACTTTATCAATTTCTTCACTAGTCATGATAGATAAATGTTGCAGTGTGTAAAGCAACTGCTCACGAGCGTTTCCCACATATGAATGTGACAGGAATGCAGGAAAACCTCTGTAGCCATCTCCCATCGTGTACAGAGGTAGTCGAAATGTACCCAATGTCTGTAATAAACAACTTCAGTTACCTAAGATGACACTGGTTGAATTACTATTTACTAGACCTTCAATGAAATTTGGTATTTAATAAGTATAAATTCTATTATGCTGAATGATTCCCAAAGGACTGCCCATACCACCTTTCCACAAATAAAGGAAGATCTCTTTCTGTGAATACAAGCAACACAATATCAACTAGAGATATTAAGGCAAATGAGGATAAAAAGATATTAAAAGAGGTAGAGGGTAAAGAGCAGTATCATGTTGGAATTTCAAATAGGTTCACAGCTTTGGAGAACTTAGATGCTGAGGTTGATATTAACAGATCTTGAGAAACCATTAAAGAGAATATCGAAATTTCAGCCAAAGAGATTAATTTTGCCTATGGTTCTGTACGGATGTAAAACTTTGTCCGTGACATTAATTGAGGAATACAGACTGAGGGTGTTTGAGAACAGGGAGCTGAGGAGAATATTTGAACAAAATTGGGATGAAGTGATAGGAGGTTGGAGAAAACTGCATACAGAGGAGCTTCATAACTTGTACTCTTCTCCAAGTATAATTAGAATTATGAAGTCAAGGAGGATGAGATGTACAGGCATGTCGAATGAATGAGGGAGAAGAAGAATGCACATAGGATATTGCTGAGAAAGCAATAAGGAAAGAGACCACAAGGAAGACCGAGACGTAGGTGGGTGGATAATATTAAAATGAATCTTAGAGAGACAGGATGGGGTGCTATGGACTGAATTGATACGGCGCAGGATAGGGACCAGTGGAGTGCTCTTGTAACCATAGTAATGAACCTATGGGTTCCATAAAATGCTGGCAAGTTCCTGGGTAGATGCACAACTGAAAGCTTCTCAAGAAAGTTTCAGCTTCATGAAGTTAGGGGATAACAGGAAAGTGAAAGTGTACACACATTTTCCAAATACATTTTATGCTAGTTTGTGTATTACCCGGCCACAAATTTACTGCAGAAACAGGCATACTGTTGCAAAACCCATACCATAACATGCAGTAAAAAATTATTTTCTTTTGTACTTTGTTAAAAATCCACTACATAAGGAAAGTTTCAATTTTTTTAACTTAAAGACATATATTTTTTATGTGATGTATCAGGTTAATCAGGGAGCCAGAATATTGTAGTTGGTATAGCGACTGCCTATGAACTGGCTGACAAAGGGGTTGGAGTTTAAGTCTGGTAGGGCCAAGAATTCTTTCCTCTCAACGTCATCCAGTCTGGCTCTGGGACCCATCCAGTGTCCTATTCAATGGGTACTGGGTGCTCTTCCCCCAGAGGGGTAAAGTGGCCCTGGAGTAAAGCTGACCGCTGACCACTCACCTCCAACTTGTGCCGAGGTCAAGAAAATGTGGATCTATATATCCTCTTATCCTCTCTTGCTTAGTTAGACACAGGGACAACCTTTACTTCCTTTATCAGCTTAATCTATAGGGTTATTCAGAATGTCACACCATTTCAGATAGTTATTTCACAAAAACCATAATTCATAGAACCACCAAAAAAAAAAGAAACATGGATGGGGTACGATTGAAGTTTGTGTCTACAGGTTTTCCATGTGTATCATACAAAAATCAAATTTGTACAAAACTTTCTCCAAACTTTCAGACATCATAGAAATAAAACCACTCTGGGTGTGTCTTTTTAATTCAAGTGTCTGTGGAGAGAAAGGGCTGTAAATTGAAACCCCACATGTAATAATCTAAAGGTCTCAGGCTTGAGGGTTTGGGTTGCCAAAGTACTAGTCCATACTATCCAACCCACCTACACAGATACGGCTTCATCAGGGTAATCACAAAAGTTTAAATGCCAATGTGATGGTGGTCCAAGCTACTAAAAGCAGAAATCATGTTGAGAGTAATCATCTGACAATCACAGCATCTATTAATTTTGCAGTATGTTTCAACATGAACTTCCAGTGGTCATCCTAAAGGGCCTTACACATGCTCAGGCGGCCTGTCCGTTTGGCCTGAACATTCGAAGCCTGTGCAGGTAAACTGAAACATCTATATGTATAGGCTAAAAGATACAATTTTCTCAGTTTAGATTTAGTTGCCGTTCAGATTATGTCTGGGAAAATGAATTTCGATGAATTATTATTGGGGTCAGCAAGGAAAATAACTCTTTAAAACGTAATAAGAGACAGAAGTGGTGTAAAAATGGGCTATTAGAAAGATGAAAGTTTTCTCAAATTAATCTACCTACTGAATTAAAATTTTAGAAACAAGATTGACTTAATTATTTTTGTATGCCTGAGGAAATGTATTTCATGCTGCTACAAACAATCAAACCTTTTATTGGTGTTAAAAAAAAAAAGATACAAATCGCAGTACCATAAATGGAGCTTATATACTTCATTTTCTGTTCCTGAGTGTAGAGAAGCTTTAAAATTTTCTCTTCTTTTCTAAATGAACTTAGTTAAGTTGATATTTTTACTGTGCTTTCCTTGTTAACTACAGGCTCCTTTTCCTTTTCTCTTAACTTCTCCGCTAATTTCTCATAAGCCAATATTTTTTATTCTTATCACTATACTCCTTCAATTTTACTTTCCATAAACATGGATTTTCATTGTACATTTTGATAAAATCTTCTAAAAACTAATCACTTTTCTTGATGCTCTCCATGTTGACACCAAATGGAACATGCTTGGACTGAAAGAATGAAGTGAATGAGCCTACACATGCTCAGTGTAGGGACGCTTGCGCAGGCCGATTTCTGTCAACAACAGAAGACAATCCGGTCAAGCAAGCAATCTAAGCAATCTCTTGTGGCCTGAATAGTTTAACTGTAGCATATACAGACATTACAGTTTACCTGCACAGGCTTGGATTGCTCAGGCCAACCAGACAGGCTGCTTGAGCGTGTGTAGGGCCCTATACAGCAACAACAAAAGGTTCATAAGCCTGCAGCTGTTTCATACTCCAAAATCAGGTGCTGTGTCAGTTCACACTTCCTACAAAAAACTGGCTTTTGTATGCCATTTGTTTGTATGTACATGGATATATGCCCTGCCAGGGCCAGAACAGACAGACAGATTTCATTTTTATTCCGTATCCTAGAGTTCATCCATCCTAGGTTGGTGCATGCTGAATCTTAACATTTCATCTCCAAAATCTAGTGTGCATCAGATGGGCCCCAAACCACAAAATGGCAATATTCTCAAAAACGTTTTGAATGATGATTGAATCTCATTGACCTGTGGAGACCATATCACTAAACAAAACTGCACAAGCGTTATCTTCAGGAAAATACTGTTACATGCACTAGAGGCTAAAATGTGATATGTAAATGTACTTGAAACCAGCTTTGCTGGTCAAACAGATTTCACTCCATCAAGCACAAAAGCACTGAAGGCCCTACAATAGCAACTGCAGTTCATGGCTCTACAGAAGCATAAAGTGGAAAGTAATCTGCAAATAAACATTATAATCTCATATTCATCAGAAACACATATCACACCTTTCAAAGACTGCATCACACAAACATGAACAAGAGACTTACACATTGGAAACATTCTGCCACTGAATACTAAAACATAATTCCATCCAGAAGAGTAATTCACTTCCCCTTAAATACCTTACTTGCTCACAAGCATTGCCAGGTTGGAAGAACACTCGTACTATTAAGAAGGCTCTATAAGAAACAAAGAACATTCCTGCTGGGTCAGTTCAGAGTACTGTGACAGACTGTCTAAACTTTGGGAGTCTTAGAGCCACAGAAATAAGAAATACTGCAGAATTATCCATTCTCTAGAAAAGTGAAATATAAACCATGCTAAAACAATGGACATACTGTTGAGAACAGTGTTGCCTATGCAGTCCACTGTGAAGTTACATAAAGAAGCACACTACACAAGTCACTGCTCTGGATATAGGCTGTGCCTGCTCCTGGTTACCTTGCTACCTTGGTGCAACAAGGGACTTAGACAAGTAAACCTGAAGATTTCAGAAAAAGATAATAGCAGACAGCACAAGAAAGAAAGCAAGGGAGTCAAGAACTGACTCTAAACCCCTAAAAGTACTTGTACAGACATTTTCAAATAAGATGGACTAGTGCTAAATACATCCATTTCCTAGTAGAGCCCACAGCACAGCCATTTTCACATGACAGTATCAAATACTGTTATCAGTGATGAGAACAACTGTTTACAAGGGTATTTTGACATGTTGTAGACTGTTTACATATAGTATAGATAACAATGAAACCTTGCAGAGTAAAATGTCATGTTTTGCAACATGCCAAAAGGGCTCCCAGGTGAAAGCAAATGGACTGCCCATATACTTTAATGGATGTGATCGATGTTTTAAAGCGAACAATAGAAGCTGTGTCTCAGTGGATGGGTGTTATAGCTCGTTGCTAGGCAGCAGTCAGTATGCCAATGAAATAGCTGGGTAGCTATCATGTGATTTGTTTTTTCTGTTGTCTGTGCCACACAACAGCAGAACTGTGTTTTCTGTGTTGCAAATGCTGCAGCTATATAACGTGAGTCTGCTTGCAGCTGAGGGGTTTTGGTTCAGTTCTGAGGTTCCAGGGTGATTGAACAAGAAATGGCAAGAAGACTTCACAGTGATTTGAAATGCTAGTTTGTGTTGAAATCCGCTGCCAGGAGACAACTGGTGAAGGCAGAGAATCCTAGTGCATGTACAATGGTGTGTAGAATAGTGATAGCGTTATAATTGAGTTTGAGTAAGAGAACTTGTAACAGAAGTGCCAATAAATCCAATCATCTGATTTAGAATCTGTTATATTTGTCATGAACCCCCCCCCCAAAGTGACAATGTTATTCAGCTGCTTAACAGGTAACAATACAATAAAATACAACAGCAACAGCATGTTAACTCCAACCGCTGAAAGGGAGATGGCAGACATAATTAAAACACTGGGTAACAAAAAATCAATGGGCATTGATGATATTCCAGAGTTCATTATTAAAAAATGTCATCCTCAACTAGTAAATGCTCTAACATACAGCATAAATCTGTCATTTTCATCTGGTTATTTCCCCGACCAACTAAAAATAGCAAAGTGAAACCCTTGTATAAGAAGGTTGTACTGCAGATGTTGGGAACTACAGGCCAGTGTCATTAATTTCGGCTTTTTCTAAAATAATCGAAAAAATTATGCACAATAGACTTTTATCATTCATAATTAAGTACAGCATAATCAACAACAAACAACATGGCTTCTGCAAACGAAATTAAATACATACAGCAATCACAGAATTTACAAAAAGGCTTTACAAACACTAGATGAAAAAGAAACAAGTATAGGGATATTTTTGGATTTATCAAAAGCGTTTGACCTAGTAGATCATGATATATTGCTAAGGAAGATGGAAAGAATGGGAATATGAGGGGTTATACTAAAGTGGTTCCAAACATACTTAAAAAACAGTGAACATGATGTAGAAATTACACACAGATGCAAAAAAACCAATCGAAACATTAATTACCTATATCGAAAGAGACCCATCAGCTATGGTGTCCCACAAGGTTCCGTTCTGGGACCAGTGTTGTTTCTGTTATACATAAACGACCTGATAAACAACCTGGAGGCCAGCCTAGAACATGGGAAACCTACGTTCTTTGCCGATGATACTAGCATTTTTATGGCAGGAAATAGAGCTAACGAAATTCAAAGGAATATGAATGAAACAATAAACAAACTCACAGAGTGGTCTGAGAGGAATCGATTAACTATTAATAAAGAGAAAACAATACCAATAGCCTTTCATCATCCTCAAAAACTACAACTTGAATGCCCTCCAATAAAGATTTATGACACTGTTATCAAATACATAGATTACTCAAAATTTCTGGGAGTCTGGCTTCATAAGCATCTAAGATGGACTATGCATATGCAAAAGCTAGCGAACAACTTATGTAAAGTATGTTTTGGCCTAAGGGTAGTTAGAAGAGTGACTGGACTAGAGACTGTCCGCACGTTATATTATGCTCATTTCCAATCTTTGCTGTCATATGGACTGATATTCTGGGGCAACTCGGTAAATGCAAAATTTCTCTTTAAATTACAGAAGAGAGCTATAAGAGCTATGACCCAGGTCCCAAAAACGACTAGTTGTAAACAAATTTTCAAATCATTACATACATTACCTCTACCATCTTTGTACATATATGAAACTCTTAATATATATAAAATCCAATTTGAATGATTTCACAACCAACTCAGGATTATATTCATACAACACAAGGAGAAACGACGACTTGCACATCATCCCATGTAATACAAGTCTATGCAAAGAACATCTCTAACAATGTAGGACTCCGACTGCTAAATCATCTGCCATGATATATTTAAGAAATACTGGTATTATATAAGATCAAAAACGCTTTGAAAACTTACCTACTTGATCATTGTCTTTATAAAGTGGATTAGTTTCTCTCGTGTGAGACAAACACTAATCAATTATAATCACATAATTCAAGAATAATCGGTTTTGGGAATCCCTACTGCGCAGTTTTCCTTTCTTTTTCCCAGCAACCAATATAGCACAGTCAGAGATGTACCTGAATGGGCTACTCTTTGAGAGATTGCAGATACCAAGAAGCTACACCAGGAAGGGAGAATAGATGTAATGAGATGTTGCAGTGTAGAGTCAACAGTGAAACGTTATACCAGTGCTATCACCAAATTCACCAAATATTATCTCAAAGGCCGTGCCATAGCTTAAGCGGTTAGTCACTGGCTTCCCACCGCTGCAGTCTAGTCAAGTGGGATTTGTGACGGACAAATTGGCGCTGGGGCAGGTTTTCCCTGAGTACTTCAGTTTCCCCTGCCAATCCTCATTCCATCAAATTCTCCATAAGCATTACACTGGTACAGGCACAATAGGACATATGGAAGCCGACATGCTGAGGGGACCTAATATGGATTCCACTTCACACTATACGAACTCTTTAACTATTGTGATCTACTGTAATCTATTGTAAACAATTGTAAGTATTGTAACTTTACTCTTATTGTAATCAGCCAATGTACAGTAACTGACTTGTCCTATATCATGTAACAATGATCTATAGAGACGAAATAAACAAATAACTTAGGTGCTGACAAATTAGACACATATCCTTAAACGGTTAAAACTGTGGAAAATCAACCTCAAAATGTTACAGAATGTGACGATGGAAAAATTCTGCTTCAGAACAAGGACTATAAAGCATAAATGAAACTGGATAATTACCTCAGTTCCAAAGTCATGTGCTTTGATTGCTTCTGCTTCAATAACCTTCAGTTCATCAATGGACACTTCAAGGGCATAAAAATGCAAAAACAGTTTCTTGCTTGGACACCAATGGGTTATGACATAGTGGTCTTCTTTAACTGGGTGTTTCAAGACATCCAGATTCATCTCCTCAAAAAGTTCTCTGTTCAGTCCAGAAAGAATGTCTTCTCCATCATTTATAATTCCACCAGGAAAACCCATATACCCATCAAACCGCAACTGCATCTAGAGTAAATAAATAAATAAATAAATACATTTCAAGGAATCTTATACATTTTTAAAACTTACATTCCCAGGAAACTGCTGTGTTTGTGAAACGTTCTATTCTGTGTACTGTGTGTTGTAACATATAAGTGTACATACTTTGCGTGTAAACAAATTATGTGATAGTGGTTTCCTATTTGTAGTGATGTTTGCCCTCTGAAGATGGTCCACAGAGACCGAAACATGTAAGGGTGCTAAGTTTTTACGTAGTAAAAAACTTACAGGTCACATTGGACGGAGTGATTTATAATTTGTACATTTTAAAAACCCATTAACTATCAATTAGTGAACAAACGATACTGTGATTGCTAAGTGTCTGCATACCCCTGAGGACCAAGACTGTTCAGTCAGTAAAATCAATGGCCAACTGGGATTCAATTTCCAGTGGATGAGAGATTCTTTTCTTTTTCTGCCACTATGTCCAGACTGGCTTTGGTGTGTAACAATCTCCCTATCCAATAGGCAATGAGGGTTCTTTCCCCTCAAGTTATGTAGCACGAGCATGCTGAGTTTACAAATCTGTGGAGCTTTATTCCTCCTCTACAATATCATGATATAGTGTTAAGACTGTGTGACATTACTCACTACAAAACACTAATGTTACAATGTACTGACTAGCACTTCTCCACATCTGAGAATCCTCGGTTCGCATCACCCCTGAAACCAGCCACCTCTGAGGATTCTCCCAGGCAAATGTTTGAATTCAACCTTAACACAGGTCGCAACTAGTTTCATAAATATTCTTTCCAATCCATTGTTCACAATCGTCTTGTCACTCCAAGTTAAATAACCTACCCCACTGATAAAGCATCATTACATAAACCAAGAAAAAACAACTGCCAAATATCAATAAAATGGTTTCTAATGCCATTTATTGATGCTGTATAAACTTCTGATGATATGTAGCACTGTGATATACTGTATGGATAAACAGAAAGTTTGGAAGATCGGAAAGGTATATTTCAAGCTGTTAGCCCAGAACTCCTCAGGAAAGGCAGGAGAAAACCATAAAAATATTCCCCATCAGGACACCTAATATCCCAAATGACATGTCTGAATATGAGACTGAACTGAATTGTGTGTAGGCAACATACGTATAATAAACAAACTAGTCTTACAGTGATTTAAAGTCAAATATCAATATTTATTAACAGAGAGCGCAAGTATACTATTAAACATATAATATAGGGGGAATAGATTACTGATACATTTCCAAATGAAAGTAAGCAGAAATAATTTTCATTTCATGCATCCTGTTGTGTTATAATATAAAACTTCTTTATTAAAACCGTCACAACACAACTACATCAAGGTCAGTGCCTAGTTTTGGCTTTGCTACATGTTTCGGCTATTAGAAGCCATCATCAGGCAAATACATGGTCAACATATGACATACAACTACTGAGCTGCAGTATTAATAAAATTTGATACAATACTATTAATTATATTAAAATACTTGGCATAAAAATGGAATAAATTAATTATATAAAACAAAAGTTATACTAGTATAAAACAAGAATAAAATTCGATTGATGCTTTATATCAAGCAGAAATACTTGGTATACTTAACAGGTGTGTTTGGCAGAACAAATTATAAATGACATGCTAATAATATCCATGTACTTCAAATTGCAAATAAGGGAAAATATTGAGAAATGGAGCACAAAACGGACATGCGCTCCTACAGTAGTAAAAGAAGATGGGGACTATGGTACAATGAAGTAGGATAGGCACATGCATGCTTGTACAGCAGCGCAAGAAGAATGCATATACGCACCCCCACCCCCCCAAATCCCCCCACCTTGTTTCAAAGTAAAGTAACAGACAAGTACATTAAAAAAATTAAACAAATCTGACTACAATGCAGCCTAAATTCAATCAAGACTTTCATTTGTGTTTTATTAACAATGGCCTTTTGCTAAAGCAACTGAAGCATCTATTTTCATTCAGAATGAGTTACTTTGATAAGATTACATCAACAAATTCACTGAACATGTATCTGTGTTCTAGCTGGTCCTAGAACTAATGTTGCAGAGAATGTTTATCTTTATCCAAGGAAGCTAAAATTATCCATTTATGCATTATTTTGATACATGGCATCTTAACAATTACACATGTATTAATAACAAAGGGACTTAATGAAGTGTATCACCCAGTGTAACATATGGTGTAGTTTATTTTACTGCCTCTACGTGTTTTTGTCCATATGGGAAATCGTCAATGGACCATCAATCATATACGCACTACTGGATTGACCGGATTGACTATGCTGTTATGCATGACCTGCGAGATATGCGTGGGTAGGCGATCACATACCGGTTGTCGGGGTCGTCGGGGAATTCTGAAAAAATGTCTGCGATAAGACTGTCCTTACCAAAATCAGAGCTCTCGCCTGGTATATCCCAAATATTTTTTCTTCCGTCCTGGAAAATATCAAACAGTGTCCAGCATGCGTACTTCCGCAATACTTCGGAAGACCCAAATCTGCCTTGGGTACTAATACGTATTTCGTGCAAGCTCTACCGAAATGTTCTGTTTCTGCCAAATGTCCCCACGATCCATCACCGGTTTCTGCCATGTCAGTCATACAATGTGATACCTTCTTACCGTGTAAGCGTCATTATCTGAACGATCTGAACATGTCACATCATTAACAGCCAACACAGGACGATCTTTCATTCGCCATGTTTCACAACAGGCCTGACAATCAACTCATGAAAATACCTCGTAGCAGACTAACATAATTACCCAGGAGGGTTACAAAAAGTAATCTTATTTCAGTTGCACGAAGATTCATGTGTGAAAATGTGCCGTCCTTATAAACACACACATATATTTGCATATAATTATTTCTTACCGTTCTACCATACTATTGTCATCACTGCACGATCATGAACAATTTACGATCTGAATGCGCAACGTGTTTTGCTGGTGGTGCATTTTTTCGTAATGAAATTAAGGTGGTTTTAGTCAAATAATGCCCGGGGATTTTGAACCAAGTGACACGCAGTCCAGTTACAATTACTGTTGCATCTGTCGGTGTGTATATATTTACAGGTCCTGAAGCGCTCAAGTTAGTTTTATATCGCATGATTTTTGTCCTTGAGTTCTTGCTTGGTCATTTGCAAACAAGCAAAATGTACTTCGTTGTAATATTAATATTGGCGTTGTTAAATAATAATGCTGCTGAAGAAATGGGGGAGACTGTATCTTGGGATGACCAAATTACAAACAACCAAGGCGGTTGCGGCTGTGGTGCTGTTAAAAGAAACACAGATGAACAATTACCACAGGATTCAGCAAATGTTCAAGAACACACATTTTTAAAAATTAATAGCGAAAAATATTCATCTGCTGCAAATGCACAAACTATTTACCCAAGAACAAATCAAATGGTATTAATAAAAGGTGGTACGTTCATGATGGGCACGGATGAACCAGTATTTGTGGCAGATGGAGAAGGACCATCCAGAAAAGTGTCACTTTCTGACTTCTACCTGGATGTTCATGAAGTTAGTAATGCAGAATTCGAATTATTTGTAAATGCAACCGGGTATAGAACAGAAGCAGAATCATTCGGAGATTCGTTTGTCTTTGAATTATTACTCAGTGAAGAGACAAAGACTGGAATAACACAGGCTGTAGCTGCTGCACCTTGGTGGTTACCTGTTAAAGGTTGTAACTGGAAACATCCTGAAGGACCAGATTCGAACATAAAAGGTATGAAGTGACAATGAGCAATGCATGTTATATGGCTCCAACTTCGTGTCCTCTTTAATTAAGATCTGTATGATTTATGCTCTCTCAACCTATTGTTGATCTGTTGTTTCAGCCCCTGGTATAATTAGACAATGTAGCTATTTTAATATCCAAAAAATGAAATAAGAATGCTTCTAAACTCAATTATATGCATGATGAACTTGCCAGTAACATTGTAAAACAAAAGTAACAGCCTTTTCTTTCCTTCATATTCCAACTTCACTTACACTTTCTAAGCTGCTTTAACACCAGTTTCCTCTGATTGCAGATCGCATGGATCATCCTGTAGTTCATGTCTCATGGAATGATGCCGTTGCATATTGTCACTGGGCAGGTAAACGGTTACCTACTGAAGCTGAATGGGAGTATGCTTGCCGAGGAGGTCTCAAAGGACGCCTGTTCCCTTGGGGAAACAAATTAAATCCAAAGGATAAACACTGGTGTGTTACCAAGAGCTAGAAATTTAATGTTACATGTCTTTATTAAACAAGAATTCCATTGTCACTTCAAGGTTAATGCGTAGTTTAATTGTGGGTGATGACATGGTGTAGAAGTAGGTTGTATTGCCAAATGTTTCAGAAATCCATAAAGTGATTTTCTTCCCTTCTTTTTGCATGGTCCTAAAATGAGCTCTTTTAATCTAACTGGCCCCCTTCCAGAATCATTCAAGAGAAAGAAAAATATAAACCCAACCCTGTCATCCCTTTTCTTCTTTCCTTCTATTTTAACTAATACTCCTTCCCCCTGGGCTACATCTTCTATGCATGCTTCCATCCATTCTGGATATTCAACTCATTCAGTCCTTCTCCCTGGATATGACTGACTCTTTAAGGTCAATTTTTGTCATACTTTCTGTTAGCTATCACTTGAATCAAAATGTGGCAGCTCCTATCAACTTGTTGATCTGTAACATAAGTACTGAGAGCAGCTACTGGGTAGTCACTGTCTTGATAATGGAAACAAGGATCTCAAAAATATCAGAAATACCTCTACATAGTGCATCACTCAGAAACCAGATGTAGAACATTTTATTATTCTGTCTTATATCTTGCATCTTTCTTATATTGAATTATTAACAGATATTTAGGCATATAAAATACTTATTTAAGGAGTTGGTATAGCGACAGGCTATGGGCTGGACAACCGAGGGGTCAGAGTTTTGAGTCCTGGTAGGGTCAAAAATTTTCTTCTCTCCACGTTGTCCAGAGTGGCTCTGGGGTCCACCCAACCTCCTATCCAGTGGGCACTGGGGGCACTTTCCCCGAGGGTAAAGCGGCCGGGTCATGAAGCTGACCACTCACTTCCAGCTAGTGCCGAGGTCAAGAAAACATGGGTCTATACATCCACTACCACATGTGCCTTCATGGCATAGTGTTTAATTAGTTAAAAACAGGGACAACTTTACCGTACCTTATTTGAGAATTAAGAAAAAGTTATGAAAAGGATGAATATAAATCATGGTCAGGAAGTTCATGAACTTTTTAAATGGCCACTAAGCAATGCATTACTTGTGTGTCTTTATGACTGAGCACGTGCCAATATGTAGTTAGTTAGTTAGTTATTGGAGAGGGTGGGTTTCCCCATGCACTTAGACCTGTATTGGTCCATTGTGCTTCCCTCTATGATTTCTACCAGTCTCTATATCCTACCGGTACTGGTGCTTACTATCAGTCCTGCCCAGCCAGCGAGACCGGCTCTACTAGCTGAGAGGTATCTATAATGCTTCCCCCATCTACCGGAGGTATTAGAGACTGCTGTTGGGCGGGAAACGTCCGTAATTTGGCTCAGTGACCTCCTTTGGAGATATGAGGTTCTTTTACGTGCCGTAAAGCTACGGCACGGGACCCACGGCTTAAAGTCCCTCCCGGAGGACTTGTTCCCTGAATTTTTCCGCCCTTAAAAATTCGATGACCTCCGCCAGGTATTTGAACCCACGTACTACGAGTCATGAGGTGGGAACGTTACCTCTAGACTACGGAGGCCGCTTTTGCCAATATGTAAGGAAGGCAGTGAGAGATTCTGACATTCACATTCAGTCAATATGAAATGTAAAAGTCTGTTTGGGTTCAGTGAATTTTATTTTCAGAATTCAGTGCACTAGATATCAGTCTCAAGAGCAAACCAACATTTCTATAGGTCACTGGGCAAGACATTCTCACAAACGTACAACATGAGCATGGAATCCTTTGGGGGACAAAGACAAAGTTGGGCTGCAGTGTACAGATGTTTTGAGTCGGGGCATTAACTGGAACAGAGGGAAAATGGTAACTCATGATGATATATTGCCCATGTATGATAGATCATCCGGGAGGGCCATATGTCTATGATTTACAAAGTTGCTGAAATCATCAATGTGTCACATGGAATGTGGCATGCTGCATGCAGACTGAGGCATTCTGAACAGACGATGAAACACAGTTCTATCGTTTGAGTCAAAAATCTTAACATCAAGCCTTGTACTGTAAATTACTCTCATTGTGACAGCACCATTTAGTTGTACTTCTTACATGAAAGCATAATTTGTTGTGTACATATATGTTTTGTGTTTTTATGACTTATTCCACATTCTGTTGCCATTTCTGATAAACTCTGGATCCATTGTACGAGTATGTAATATATGGACATATGTAATCATTTTTTGTAGTCTTGTTTTCCATCTATAATACAATATCAATTTCAATTTTTAATTACACTAAATCGCATTTAATTAACTAAAATGTTCATTAAATGTTTAAAATGTCATTAAAATACGTACATTCAATGTTTATGCTATATGACTCAGCTGACAACTGGCAACACATTTTGAAGGAGTCTACTGCACTGTGCACTTGGTCAAATAGTACTCTTAAGGCACATTGTTCTTAACATTAATTTTTATGTTGTAGGATGTTTTTTCTTCATATCTTATGTATTGTGGCTGTTTCTGTGCCCCATTGGGTGTGCCGTTCACTTGGTTGTGTGCATCTAGTGCTGCTTTGTGTTCCTTTTACTGGTTTTGGTGTAGTCCTCGTGTAAACATCTTTCTAGGCAGCATGTGACATCAAAATTAATGGTAACAACAATGACGTGCCTTAAAGCAGTGGTCCTCAATCTTTGTCAGACCATGGCCCTCTAAATTCTTTTTTCTATAATACGATGGCCCAGTATAATTGACGCCAGGGCCCAGCAGTGAGAAACACTGCCTTAAAGAGTACTATTTGATCAAGTGCACAGTGCAGTAGACTCTTTAAAAGAATGTGCTGCCTGAAGATAGCCCCTGTGCGGCTGAAACATATAGCATAAACACTAAATGTACATACATTTTAATGACATTTTAAACATTTAATGAATATTTTAGTGATTTAAATGTTATTTAATGTAATTTAAAGTTTCAATTGATATTGTATTACAGACTACAAAAAATTATGCCCCAATGCAGCAAGATGCTGGAATATAATATTATGGTTGTATGTATGATCACAAGAAAAGGCTAACAGGATTACTTTCAGCAGAGGTACATCTAATGACAGACATGTTTAACACAAAATATTTTAAAGGCAGTCTGCAATAAAACACCATGAGAGATAAGCTCTCATGAACTTTTTCATTGACATATGATCTAATTAAAACAAAGAAAAAATTAATGACAACACATAGTATTCACTTCCATCAGTAGATACTGTTATTATACTTTTAGGCCTGCTGGTTATTTCCCACAAGTGGCAAAGTGTAAAGGTGTTAACAGTTACAATACAATAATGCCCACAAATAAGAGTTGGCAATGTATCATGTAACTGCTTGCTACTTGGGCGAAAAACGATGGGAATGTTTCTTACAGTTATAACACGTTTACCTGCTTCGCATATAATATGTTCCATTCCATTTTTCTTTCTTGCATGGTAGACTTTCGTGTACAGTATTCGTAGTGTGGTCACGGAAGGTGCTATTTAATCACGAAGATGCAGATATAGGTTAGGTGGTATGTCTTAACCGGTCTTAACTTTCTTATAATGTTTACACAAGTGCAAAAACATTCCGGTACCCTTAGTTAGGAAATAAAGTTGAGGTGTGTTGAGGCTGGTTTAGTACGCAATTTTTTCACACAATCTGTATATGCAAGCTCATCATAACTGTTATGTTTCTTTGCTACGTAGACCACTAGGCGCTAGGCGCTAAACAAACCGTGTCCACAATTATAGTGATCGATACAAATACGCAGAATCGTTAAAATCGTGACTATCCTAAGTGGTCGCAAGTAGGGCAGTGCTTTCCAACCCGTACAAAAGAGTGTGACTACACATACACGTACAAAAAAAAAAGGGGGGGCATGAATGTTCGCAATACCGCAATTGTAAACATGAAATTGACCGTGTGAAATTTTGAACGTACTTCCGAAGCCTACTGTTGAATCGGAATGAATTGACGGAAGTAATGCTGTACACAGCTGTCCATTTATTACAAAATTGGTTGTGTAGAAAGCCAACCGATGAAACTATAAGGCTTCAGATCCTAATGATCTTGCTGTTCAACAGCCGTGGGAAATACAAACTTCGCAATTATCATGCATTTGTATGGCATATTTACCGGAATCAGCAAGCTATGTAAAATATTTAGAAATGTAAACGTAGGAGACATGCGTGATGTAGACAAGCATTACCGCAGAAAATATGGGCAACATTTAATTGGCATGAACACACCAGCTGCAGTTATCAAGCACTTAGTACTACATTTTCTGGGTTATTTAACGGCACTGTCAGCATCGAGACTATATAGCGTCAGATGGTAGATAGCAAATTGGAAGGGCTTTGGAAGGAAGCAGTCATGGCCTGTTTGGAGGTACTATCTTGGCTTTTGCCCGGAGAGACTGAGAAAACCACGAAAACCTCTAGTCACGATAATCGGCGTCCTGGGTAGGATTCAAACCAAGCACCTCCCGAATACAAAAGTAGATGTGTTCCGTCATGGTACGGAATAATGTAGAGTAACTTTTTTTTATGACACCTACATGAAATACAGATCTGCTAGAAAGTGTCGGAGAAAATTTTGATGTAAATTTCGTGATGAATGAGTTCCTAGCAGACAAATAATTCACAATTTGTTGAATAAACTTTGAACAATGGGACCCTTAATAGACAAGAAACAAACGCATAAGCGTTGGGTGCGTACTGAGGAGAACTTAGATGACATAAGGGCCAGACTTGAAGACACACCTAGAAAATTCTGAAACGTCTAGCTCAAGAGACTGGAGTGTCAAATTCTAGTGCAAGAACAGCAACACAGTAGCTGAAGCCATCCAGTGAAAGTTGGCGTTTAGTGTGCTATGAGTGCAAGAAGGATAATTCATAATTCATTTACTGTTAATTACATTACATTACATTAATTACTGTTACATTCATAAACTGTTACACAAGTACAATTGGACAAGTCAGTTTAAGCCATCTAAAACACTGCAAGTCAACAACCCTTAAAATGTACAAAATGATACACAAGACTACGAACAGAACAGTCATCTTAGGATCATTGTCCTGCTGAAGCTAGCAACTGAGGATGACACCCCCCAGCAATCCAATATAAAGCAATGCATACACTTATACCATCTATATACAACCACACCACATCAGAACCAACCCGAGCCACCAAACTACTGTCCATCATTGTTGTACCTGTTTTTAAATGAAACAATTAATTGCATTTTCAACACCTCCTGTGATCTGTGAATTTAACTACTTCATTTCAAATGTTATCGGCTGTCAGGCATTCTGATTCTTCGGCAAAATTTGTATGAACCTCGCAGCAAGCAGCTCCCTGCTCACCTTGAACTTATCAAGTGAGTAAAAAGAGACACTGTATTGCATGGACTGGAGTAAAAGATCAGACCAGCCGAACATCTGCAGTCTATAGTAAAAAAAAGTAAAGGTATCCCTGTAAGAAATCGTGGAGGCCCATAGGGTTCTGAGATGTTGAGGTTCAGACATTATCTAGACAATCAGCTCATAGTTGGTGGCAAGGTTGTCAGCCCTACACACTGGCCACCATTTACCCCCAAGAATATTCCTGCTATTCATTTCTGTTGGAGGCTGAGTCGACCCCAGGGCCATACCGCGTGCCCCCATCTGCAGTCTATGCAACCACTAAAATGAAATTCAAGCATTACCTGAATATAATATGTCAGCGTGTAAAAGGTAAAGTTGTCCATGTGCTTAACCAATTAAGTACTACACCATGAAGGCATATGGGGTAGTGGAAAAAAATAAAACACTGAGTGACAGTACTTCTTTAAGAAACCACCCTAGATATCTTAGCCATTTTTGAACAAATCTAAAGTTGACTGAAATAATACACTGCAAAATAGAGATAAAATATCAAGGAGTAAGTGATGCAGTGCTTTATACACAACAGGAAATAGCACAGGTTAGAGCCTCAGTTGCTGGGCAAGATATAGAAGAACATAGGTATCTCCTGAATAAACTTGAAGAGCCACAATAGAACAGTCGGTATGGTGACTGGCTATAGGCTGGATGGTTGAGTAGGGGAAAATTTTCCTCTTCTCCTTGTTGTACAGACCGATTCTAGAACCCACCAAGCCTCCTGTCCAATGGGTACCAGGGGCTCTTTCTCCGGGGGGTAAAGCAGCCAGGGTGTGAAGCTGACCACTCACCTCCAACTAGTGCCGAGTTCGAGAATACTAGGATCTATATGTCCACTTCTCCATATGCCTTCATGGCACAGTTAAGTTTAGAGACAACTTTACCTCTTTTTTTTATATATGAGTCAAATTGAAGTCTGCAGATATTTGTATAGTACAAGAGACCAAATACTGAATAGAAGCATATGTATTGTCACATGTCACACAGTAACTAAAGATGGGATTCGGATTGGTAATTGGGTTTATTAATAACCTACAGGCCATAAATATAATTTATTATTACACTGTTGCTGCTTCACACAATTTACAATCACTCCAGACTAATCTCTTCAGTCTATCTGCACTAGTCTTCGTGGATTTAGCAGACAGGAACTATAACAGTCTCACTGAATTACACACCCCCAAATATTACACATAAATAAAATCTTCATAGGCTGACTCCTTGTACTGTTCTTCAACTATGAACTTCCCGTGGCTATCTACTACTGAGAACAGACTCGTCCCTGAACCGAACAAATTCCTTCACTTATATAGCCAAGGAACCGACATGGCCGNTGGTGCGTGCCATCAGTCCCGACTCAGCCAGCGAGTTCGGCCTCTTCTGGCTCAGCGGTATCTAGATGCTTCCCCCATCTACCAGAGGCGTTAGAGACTATTGTTGGGTGGGAAATGTCCTTCAATTTGGCTCAGAGGTCTCCTTGAGACATGGGGTTCTTTTACGTGCCGTAAAGCTACGACATGGGACCCATGGCTTAAAGTCCCTCCTGGAGGACTTGTTCCCTGAATTTTTCCGCCCTTAAAATTCCACGACATCCGCTGGGTTTGAACCCGCGTACCTTGAGTCATGAGGTGGGAACGTTACCACTAGACTACAGAGGCCGCTTCAGGGTCTGGTTAAGTGAGATTTGTGGTGGACAGAGTGGCGCTGGGGCAGGTTTGCTCCGAGTACTTCGGTTTCCCCTGCCAATCTTCATTCCACCAATTGCTTCGCAATCACCCTCACCTATCATCTGGGTCTGGTACAATAGGCCAGAAGTGGCCGCAGTACAGGGACTTAGTCTCACCCCACTATCAATAAAAAAAGAAAGAAAAGGAACTGACATGCATCACAGGAAACACATGTCACGTGACCACCACCCACCACTGCATGACATTACAGCAGACACAGAAAACACAGCCTCCTCTTGGTGTGGACTGTGTTTATGGAGCTGTTGCCTAGCAACATGTTGATCAAACCCGTTACAGTATTATACAATAGAGGACTTTGACATAAATATTAAAGAAAAATAATGTGGCTGTAAGCAGTTATTGCATATTGCAGAGATCTTCTTCTAAATGTTATGACATCATGTGTGTGCTTTCTTCAGTCTTCAGGAGACTGAAAGGATTAATCATTCAATAAAAGAATAAGTGTACGGTAATGATAAATATTGGCTTCTGATGCATGTAATATAAATTATGCCATCAGATATATGCTGATTAGACACTGTTATTACAGTATTTTTGTACATTTAAATATTCTTTCCTCCTCTTTAATTGTAAACTGTATAATGGAGTAAAAAGCTTTATGATTGTTTTATTCTATCTCATGGACCACCCTTCCATAAGTCGTTTCATAAATTTTATTTTGAATACCGTAGATATATCAGTTGTCTGTTGAACAAAAGGACAAATAAACAAAAAAATATAATAACAATAAAGATAGAAGATATTAATTTTTCCTAAATACATGGAAACCAGTGAGATCAATGCATCATTTTCTAGTTACAAATGTCAGATCATCAGAGCTGAGATACTTGACACTTCATTGGCCGAAAGATGAAATTTAAGTTCCAGTGCTTAGCACTTACAGTATCTGTACCCATAAAGTCTGGATGTTTGACACCTGAGAAAGTTTTTTTTTAATTAAAACTCTTTCATGAAGTCAGACACATCCACAAGACATCTGTGGCATGAGCAGAAAGAATACCTAGAACCACTATAAATGTCAATATGAATGGATGACTGGAAGGTTTTCACAGCATTGAAATGGACTGGTTTTCCATTTCAATATTTTTGTGTCGTGTGTGGTTAGGACAGTCAGCATACCCTGTCGAGAAATTAGTAGTCTTGTTTCAGTACTTCCTTTAATTTTTAGGGCAAATATCTGGCAAGGGGAGTTTCCTGGTACCAACACCGGGGAAGATGGTTACGTAGGCACGTGCCCTGTCACAGAATTCCCTGCCAATGCGTTTCATCTTCACAACATTGTCGGCAATGTCTGGGAATGGACAGCAGACTGGTGGAACATAAATCACACACGCACACCAACTGTTGATCCTGTAGGTTACATTATATTAATCTCTAGCTGTGTGAAATTTACATGTACCTTCACTGATCCTTTGTTGCATTGGTAACTCCTTAGCCATGCATGTCACGCCCATAATCTAACCATCAGATGGAAGTTTTTACTACAAATACTAGTGCCAAATTGTTTTAATTGGAACTGGCCTATTCCTTGACACTGGAAATTTGAAGTAATGCCAAAAGCAGGGCAGTGTGAACTTTTGTGAAGTGTAGCAGTCACTAAGTGCTACATATAGTTTTTTCCCCATCAGATACCATACATAAATAATTTTCAGCACATATCTCACAAGTAGATTCTAAAGGATTCTGACAATGGTGCATAACACTCAGAAGTACCAGGTTTTTTGGACTTTGCCCATCATACAATATTCTAAAAAACTAGAGAACACAACGTTTCAGAAACAGGATCTGTTTCTGTCCTCTGGTGAGGTGGGAGGTTGTCCAGTGATTGAGATTAGCTCTTTCTAAGATACCCAACAGAGTAGGTGTCTCCCCACTCAGCTGAGGACAGAAACAGATCCAGTCTCCAAAACGTGTTCTCTAGTTTTTTAGAATACTGGACAATGGATGAAGTCTAAAAACCCAGTAATTCTGAGTGTTAAGCATCTTACAGTCTGTTATGACCAAATTTCAACTTACAAAGTACAGCATTTTTCAGAAAAGAAATCTGTTTAAAATGTAGAGTTGAATTAAATATTTTATAACAAAATCTGATATCTCACTGCAAAAAATGAAATCACAGTACTTTCACATAAATTTTTACCCTCTACGCCCATCTTTTACAACTAGCATAAATGTACAATTAATGTCATTTTCAAAAGTAGTTTCAGATATAGTGTTGATTTGATGTAAACAAAAGCCAAAACTGTTTCACACTGGTAATTTTCACAGGTGAAAATTACAGACTTCTGGGATTTGATAGTACAAACCTACATAGTGTCTAAATGAAAATTTGGATATATGTATTGATTCTCATTACTCTTCAGTGTATTTCCAACAAAACCTGCTTCAGGTAGCAACATCAGTTACTATTTATTTTCATATGCTAACTTATTAATGATTCTGCCATGTGCCCCTTCCATATTATAAATATGTATTTTCTCCAACAGCAGAAAGGTAAAGACATTAACATTAATATTGGATTGCAAATAAAAATCTATTGCTGCAAAGGTATTCACACAGAAATGATTTTTCCTTGCATATTGTTAAGAATTAACAGCAATAAAAAATGTTCAGAATATGAATCATAGATCTTAATAATAAGATCTGTATTTTGCATTATGTATAAATGTTTATATGCTAAACCATGTAAAGCAGAGGTTATACTCACACAATTTCATGAAAATGAAATTTTCTTACAATGTGTAGTGTACTTTCTTTCATGTGTCCTGCATTTTAAATGAAGATTTAGAATGCCACACGAAGTACATCTATGTAATTACATTCCTCATTAAACCGAGCAAGTTAGCATAAGTGGTAACACTTGAGACTTGTATTTGGGAGATGCCTAGTTCAAATTTCATCCAGGATACCAACCACTCTTCCCTCCCCCCAGTCCCTCCAAGCACACGCCATGACCTCCTCGAGTTACTGACAGCATTGTTAAATAAACTACAAAAATACATTCTTTGTTTAGTTGGGACCAGAAACTGGAAAAGACCGTGTGAAGAAGGGTGGCTCCTACTTGTGTCACAAAAGTTACTGCTATCGATACCGTTGTGCTGCTCGTAGTCAGAACACACCAGATAGTTCTGCTGGAAATCTTGGCTTTCGCTGTGCTAGTACAAACATCCCTGAATACCTAAAGGAGCATCAATAAATTAACATTACATGTGAGATTCAACTAGTCTACTGCAGAGCATACCTTACAAATTTAAGGGCTCTGATTTTGTAAGTACACTATGGCTATTACTTGGAAGCTACCCATTGTTGGCAAGGTGAGATTAGTCTTAGAAGAAAGATAAGCTTATCCCATTCTGGTCTTAGTTCATTTTATATTGTCGCATGTAGGGGTGCATGACTTATAAGACGGGTTTTAGTTTGAATGACTGCATTTATTTACACCTTATACATTCACAACTCAAGACTACAGGTAATACAGCATTATCACTATTCTACACTTTACAGTTCACTGTTATCCACTAGGGTTCTCAGCCTTCACTTGTACCCTGGCAACAGATTTATCACAGTCTCACTGTAACTTCAAATCACACATGAACTCTTCTTCTCACAGCCTAATTCCTGTCTTGCCATTATTCTGGAGCTGCCAATTCAAAAGACTTGACTCAATTCAATTCCTCTGCTCCCAAGCTCATATCCCCACAGGCTGGCATCTCAGAACTCAACTCTCCACTCTTGATTACTCTTTCTACTCGGTCACGCCTTCTGACTTTGTCAGTGGCAGAGACCCACATGGACAACATAGCCTCTGATGTTGAGGAGTCATGTTTACTGGTCCGTTACCTAAAAATGGATGTCCTATTGTACCGCACGTTTGCTTCTGCGGGAATGTGTTCACCAAGTTGTTGGCTAGCAATGGGTATACATGTCAAAATATTGTGCTGCCTTTGTGGTAATGGAGGTGCAGATGCTAATATTGCATGAAACTTTTATATGGTAAACACCTGTTACACTGAACTTAATTTTTGAAAACATCTTAAAGATGTTTTTTTCTAAATTCCTATTCTAACCACATATTATTTCATAATAATTAGCTTCCAAAGAATGTACTTTTCAGATTAATGGACAAAATTTCCTATTTCTTTATTTCTCAGCATAGCAATTCTTAGGATTTGCTGCCAGAAGGCTAGGGCAAAGAAAGGTTACATCTTTAAAGAAGTTTCTATATTGATGGAAGATCTGAAGCTGAAGTTGATAAAATCTTCTTGGGCTATCAGTCATGTCAGTTGGTTATAAAATTACTGACATTTCAGTGACCATCTCTGTCACCATCATCATCATCAAGGGGACACTCTAAACGTCAGTGGCTTGAGTTGTAACATTCCAATTGGAGATGTGATAAACCATCATAAATTAGTTTTAATATCAAAGTTATCAGTGCCCTGATGATGTACAAATTTATACACCTTTTAAATTTGGCACAGTAAATCCAAAGCAATGGATAAGGAGAGTTTGCTCCACAAATGTTAACTGCCATTTACATTAAAGAAATATCTTGTTACCTAGTTTCTGTCAGACAGCAGCTTTAGACTGCTACCATGAAACAATCTTAAAGAGAAATCTGGCAAAAAATGTACTTTACTCAACTTCTCCTTCTGTTGAAATTAGAATTAATCATAATTATATTTGTCAAAGATAAGTTAGAAAAATGAACATGTAAAATCATCAAAACAAGCTGAATCTCATGAGCTGCAGTTTCTAGTGTTAACCTATGTGACTCATATAACATACTTCTGGAATATCAGACAGGTTTCAATTATTGTTTTGTCCCTGTTGGTATTAATACTATGAACATTTATTGTCATACAAATGCCAGAATTTCATACTGATGAAACCATGGTTTTCAGAGAAACTTAAATTTTACATTTAAATATTATTACAAAAGATCAAAGTGTTGTTGAACTGATAATTGTGATTGCAGAAAATGAAATATGTAAATTAATTTTTGGACTCTTTTGTGGACTGATGGCATAATGCATGGATGTTATCTAGAAGAGTATGGATGATGAATGAACCTGAACCAAATTAGTCATTGGCACAACATCACATGGCATAGAAGTGTTGTTGGACTGATAATTGTGATTGCAGAAAATGAAATATGTAAATTAATTTTTGGACTCTTTTTGTGGACTGATTGCATAATGCATGGATGTTAGTAACAAAATTAGTCATTGGCACCACATCACATGCCATTACTCAAGTTTCTTCCAAATTAGTTCATTTTAAACTAATGGAACTTTTTTTACTGAAGTCAGTGACTGCTGAAAGATGAAACTGTCCTCTAGCCTTGCCAGGAATCTGGTTCTAGTGTCATTCTTATGGAGGTCAAAATGTTATGGTAAATGACATGCTAGGCAATGTGTTAGAATGTAACTCTTTATAAAAACAATGCTATAAAACTCCAAAATGTTCAAGCATGGAAGTAAAACCTCTATGACACTTCTAAGTCACAGTACTAACAACTTACTTATTATTCCACCATTAACTTTTAATGAAAATTATTCAAATTTTAGGAACAAATTCTTAGTTATGTAATTTCTAAATTCATGTTTTTATTTTTAATCATTTTTCTGATGCTGGTTATACTGTATGCTTGTAAAGTATTATAACTTGCATCCATTTCATGCAAAGACAAAAGCCATTTAGAGATATTACTGAAATGGGGTCTTGTTTCCTTTTGAATTCTAGATCACTTTCTCTTTCATCAATTGTTTGATCTAGAAGCATGGAGCTGGTCCCCGCTGGTGTACATTAATAAAATGTGTTCTTTAGTCAAAGAAAGACCACAGAAAAGCATAAGATTGTCATCTAATGATGACAAAACAATACTGGCACAATCTAACCACAAACTTCAAAAGGTCACAGGTATATAGTATGGCTGTTTGAATAAAACAGCTCACCATATGTGAAGGTGATGTTAGTTGATAATGTATTAACAAAGTAAAATTAAAGTTCACATTTGAAGCAGTCATTGATCTTCCCTTATGATCATAAAGCTTTGGAGTGATGATACTGTAAGTGGTTCTTTTATAAGGACATAATGCACTTTGTTGCTGGTAAATGAACCAGCAAAATATAGCATTTGATTTCACGTCCTTTGGTAGTGGCAAAGGAACCAACTCTTCCAACTAACAATAAGAATGTTTTAAGCAAGTATTTTTTCTTCTCTGCAATAACTCACTTCGCAGTCACAGACAAGATATAACAGACTGACTTCCCTTAGTCATAAGGTGTCGTACTTAGTGACTTTCTTGTACTTTTAGAATAATTATTAATTAATTATTTTTATAGCAGATAAAATGTTTTCTGAAGTTTATTATTTTTACAAATAATAAATCTGTATTTTGGATAATTACATTTCATATTGCAAAGCACTATTAAACATTAATTTAGAACTTAATTCATTTTCCAGTACACATAATTTTGTACTTAAATGAAATATTTAGGTACTTATTCATATCGAGAGCACACAACTTGGAAGTTCCTAGTTAAGATCAAAAGTAAGTCTTCCAATTGTATTATATTAAATGGTGTAGGTCTTGTACTGTATGATGTGAAATAAATTTTGTAACTGTGATCCAATCTAAGTTTTCATCATAAGGTAACATCCTTCCTAAATCCAGTATATGAAAGAGCATCCCACAAGATTTCCTTAAGTCTATGTGCCCTACAGCGCTGGTTACGGTAGCTGAGCGGTCTAAGGCATGTACTGTCTTCGCTCGCTTGGAAACCGGGATTGTAGGTTCGAATCCCACTCAGGGCATGGGTGTTTAGTTTGTGTGTGTGCATTTTTCTGTTTGTGTACAGGTAGAGGCCTTGTGATGAGCTGATCACCTGCCCAAGGAGTCCTACCGAATGTGTAAGATCTAGAAAACCGAAGTGAACGGAGAAGTTCATGGAGGTAGGCCTAGGCCCACTGGGGCTGTAGTGCCAAGGGGGAAAAAAAATGTGCCCTACAGGGATATAGCAATATGAAACAGTGTACGACAATTCAAATCCTTCTTTCTGTAGTAGTGTGTTCAAAATGTCACATTTTTGTGTAAGCAAATACTCCAACATGTAAGATAAATTTTATTTTCATTAAGAGGATGCAAGAAGTTGTTTTGTAGACATGGGAATGTTTGGATTTCAGAGTTGATCTTTCAATGATTAAAAATGTCCACAGGAGTTACTGAGGAATGGACACTTTCATGTCTAACATACATATGTATTCTTAACACATGTCAACTTCAGTTTACTTGTGTTCAAAATGGAGTACCAACTCAAACTTTATACCTCTTTGCTGATGTTACAAGAAGATATAAACCAGATGTTTCATTGGTAGTCATGTGGGGGAATGACCATCACAAAGCATTCAGTGAGAATTCATTCATTAGTGCATAATTTTTCAGAATTGGTCAATATAAAATTTTGGTAAGTTATAACAAAACCAAACTGATGCCGGAAGCAGCGTCATCAGTAGCGACTTGAAGCACAGAACAAATGATGCTCGAGATGGTTCAAGTTCGTATAGCAACAGGCGTGACCAGAGTGGTTTGAACGGCTGCTGTACTGCGATGTGGAAAGCAAATGGAAAAACTACCACATTATCACTTTTCCTGGATAGTCTCGTTCCAAAAACAGAAGATCGCGTTAAGTGGAGGAACTGTTTTGGAAGAGATTGTGGACCTGTCGTCTGACAGATTACTGATGAATGAATGAATAACAAAACCATGCAAAAGAAAATAGCATGAAATTAAAATACTATACTAAAATGTAAATTCCCAATGTGGACACTTTCAGAAGATAATCCAAAGAAAGATTTTAAGACTGCTACTAATGTTTCAGAAGATACTTGCAATAGAGCTCAGACTTGACAGAAATGAATGTTAATGTCAACATATCCTTATGACTGGAGAGGAAGAAAAGTAAGAAAAAGAGTAATTTACAATACTGTAGTACAAGCAACTGGAAACTGTTTTATGAAGTATGATAGATTATATGTTCCATTTGCTCAACATCTGGAGTGTGAAGATTGTGAATAACTCTTGCATTTCAACATTAAAGTTACAGTTCAGAGGTAGAAAATTCATACCACAAACATTTTCTTCTGGACGTGCAAGAGTGCCCAAAAAGAGGTGGGGGATGCTCAAGGAAGTTCAGGACTACCATAGTTCTAGTTAACTGGCAGGACTACCGTAGTTCTAGTTAACTGGCGAACACAATGGACAAGGCAAGCCTGTAGTCTAAGTCCTTATCTGCTTATTTGTATATCGTAGTTAATTACAGACAATGCACATCATCCATTAGCAAGCAATGTGTCATGATGCCACTGCTATGGTTACTTTTTCCAATAATTTGTCATGTGAATCAACTACAGTTCTTGGATAATAGAAGTCACTACCAGAATAATGCATACTAATTCATACATTCATTTCCTTAATTTTCCATATATCCATACAGGTAAAAAAACCTAG